TATTATTTATACCATTTTTTACACTAATGCAGTAGTCTGCATAACAGTAAATCTTCTATTTTTTGTGAGAATAAAAATTCAAAGTGGAAAGCAAAAGAATATAAGAGGGGCCTTGAGACGTGACTAATGAACAGAGGAAATGTCATTTTAATGCCAGGAATGTCTTTCTTGTTTATTCTGGACCCTATTCGGAAATTGGTATCTTTTGAAATTTGTGTGAAATTGGCAAAATTGCTAAATTCTGACCACTGTACTGGATAGTTGAAATTGATAAATGGGTGGTTTCTTGCACTCATTCGATAGAAAAATGGAGTTCTAGCGAAATATTCATGTTTTTTGTCGACTAGTACAGTGGAATTGGCCGAAAATAGGGCTCAAAGTGGGCAAAATCGCCGATGAGTAAACATCGCTGAGACCGCTAACTTCGCGAGAGCATAATTCTGTAAGTTTTCTATCAAATTTCAAACTTTTGGTGTCATTATGATCGGGAAAAGATTCTCTATCTTTTCATAAGAGAAAATTATTTTTTTTTTAAATTTGGCCGACCCTGAGAACGAGTCTCGGAGAGGGCCTGTCAACCCTCAAAGGGTTAAATCAGCAACTGTGGAAACAAAAGAAGGTCTGTAAGTGTACAAATTAAAGAATTATGTGGATTAGAATAAAGGTGGTATGAGAGATGTGGATTATAGAAAGTGTACACCTGGTGAGGAAGAGGTGTTTGAATATATATGTAGTATTTTTGTATGTACAGTAGACCATTGGATAAAACTCGATCTCTTAACATGTTTTTGCCTTAACATGAATGTGAATATGCAATACTAATCAGTAGGGAAAATGTGTAATGTGCTGGGCTCTTTTCCCTCCATCTCATAGTGGTGAGTATTCAAGGAAGTCCATTGTCTTTCAAGGAATGCCTGCTTAATGTACACAACCTCCCTCGCCTCATTGCTCAATTCATACACGCTCGGTACCATACCTCAGCTACATGCTTCCGTCTATTTCCTGCCACACACTTAGCATCTTACACCCACACAACTTCTCCATGACTCATGAAATCATAATAACATGATTGCAAACATACCACGGAATGGGTAGGGTTTGAACCCATGGTGAGTGAGTCGTAAAGTTCCCCCATGTTGGTAATAAGTATACTTAGTTGTTGGTAATAAGTATACTTCTTAGCTGCTAGCTTAATGGCTGCTCATAGATGAACTTCTTTGACAGAAAGAGAAATACTTTAGTGTATAATTTTGGAGAATGCTTGTAAACACATGGCATGATTTTTCAGCTTTTTTCTAATTAGCACTGTTCTAAACTAATTACTTCTTTTTGTCTGCATTTAAGTGTTGGTTCAAATCTCTTAACATATTTTCTTAGGATTCTCCATTAGTTAGCAATTTTTAATTGAAGTACTGTATATAATCATTTCTGAAATAAACAAAAGCAATGTACAGTGGAACCTCAAGTATCGAACTTAATCCATTCCAGGAGCTAGTTCTAAATTCGAAAAGTCTGAAAATTGAAGCAGTATTTCCCATAAGAAATAATGGAAATACAATTAATCCATTCCAGAAACCCAAAAATATTCACAAAAAAATACATTTTATAGAGATTAATTACAGTTTTACATATACACAAATATTATAGTGTTTTTTTTTTTTCAACAAGTCGGTCGTCTCCCACCGAGGCAGGGTGACCCAAAAAAGAAAGAAAATCCCCAAAAAGAAAATACTTTCATCATCATTCAACACTTTCACTACACTCACACATTATCACTGCTTTTGCAGAGGTGCTCAGAATACAACAGTTTAGAAGCATATACGTATAAAGATACACAACATATCCCTCCAATTATGTATATAAATATAAAGTAACATTTTTACTTACCTTTATTGAAGATTGGTGATGGCATCTGGAAGATGGGGAGGAGGAGAGAGGGAGTTGGGGTTAGTGTTTGGAATGAGAATCCCCCTCCATGAGGACTTCAGGTAAAGCCCTCTCTGGGGTTACTTGCCTTCTCTGTCTTTTAATGCCACTAGGACCAGCTTGAGAGTCACGGGACCCGTCTCACAAAATAACTGTCCACAGTCCTCTGTTTCTGGCGCCTCTTTAACATTTCCCTAAAATGGGACATGGTTCTGTCACTGAACTGGTTCCAGGAGTTTTCTGTACCAGATCGGCATGCAACTTCCTTGCCTTTTCGCAAATAATCGTCTCTGAAACACTATCACCTGCCATCTCTTTATCCTTGATCTACACCAGCAACAACTTTTCAACCTCTTCAACTATTTATGGTCTTTTTTTTGGTAAGCATATTAACACCTTTCGCAACATCAGCTTCCTTGATTTGTTCTTTCTTTGCCAGGATAGAACTGATGGTCGACTTGTTTTTCCCATACATCCTGGCAAGCTCAGCAAGTCTCATACCACTCTCATACTTCTGTATTATTTCCTTCTTCACATCTATGGTGTTTCTCACTTTCTTTACCACAGGGGTACAACTAGCAAGTTTCTTTGGGCCCATGGTTGCTTATTTCACAGTCTCACAAGAAGAGAGAGGTTAAGAGAGTGGTGAAGCAATGTAAAAAGAGCAAATGAGAGAGTGGGTGAGATGTTATAAACAAATTTTGTTGAAAATAAGAAAAAGTTTTGGAGTGAGATTAACAAGTTAATGAAGTCTAGAGAACAAATGGATTTGTCAGTTAAAAATAGGAGAGGAGAGTTATTATATGGAGAGTTAGAGGTATTGAGAAGATGGAGGGAATATTTTGAGGAATTGTTGAATGTTGATGAAGATAGGGAAGCTGTGATTTCGTGTATAGGGCAAGGAGGAATAACATCTTGTAGGAGTGAGGAAGAGCCAGTTGTGAGTGTGGGGAAGTTTCGTGAGGCAGTAGGTAAAATGAAAGGGGGTAAGGCAGCTGGGATTGATGGGATGAAGATAGAAATGTTAAAAGCAGGTGGGGATGTAGTTTTTGGAGTGGTTGGTGCTATATTTAATAAATGTATGGAAGAGGTAAGGTACCTAGGGATTGGCAGAGAGCATGCATAGTTCCTTTGTATAAAGGCAAAGGGGACAAAAGAGAGTGCAAAAATTATAGGGGATAAGTCTGTTGAGTATACCTGGTAAAGTGGTATGGTAGAGTTATGTATTATTGAAAGAATAAGAGTAAGACGGAGAATAGGATAGCAGATGAACAAGGAGCTATTAGGAAAGGTAGGGGTGTGAGGACCAGGTGTCTACAGTGAAACATATAAGTGAACAGTATTTAGATCAGGCTAAAGAGGTTTTTGTGGCATTTATGGATTTAGAAAAGGCGTATGACAGGGTGGATAGGGGGGCAATGTGGCAGATGTACGGTATAGGAGGTAGGTTACTGAAAGTAGTGAAGAGTTTTTACGTGGATAGTGAGGCTCAAGTTAAAGTTATATAGGAAAGAGGGAGATTATTTCCCAGTAAAAGTAGGCCTTAGACAAGGATGTGTGATGTCACCGTGGTTGTTCAGTATATTTATAGATGGGGTTGTAAGAGAAGTAAATGCGAGGGTCTTGGCAAGAGGTGTGGAGTTAAAAGATAAAGAATCACACACAAAGTGGGAGTTGTCACAGTTGCTCTTTGCTGATGACACTGTGCTCTTGGGTGATTCTGAAGAGAAGTTGCAGAGATTGGTGGATGAATTTGGTAGCGTATGTAAAAGAAGAAAATTGAAAGTGAATACAGGAAAGAGTAAGGTTATGAGGATAACAAAAAGATTAGGTGATGAAAGATTGGATATCAGATTGGAGGGAGAGAGTATGGAGGAGGTGAATGTATTCAGATATTTGGGAGTGGACATGTCAGCGGATAGGTCTATGAAAGATGAGGTGAATCATAGAATTGATGAGGGGAAAAGGGTGAGCGGTGCACTTAGGAGTCTGGAGACAAAGAACTTTGTCCTTGGAAGCAAAGAGGGAATGTATGAGAGTATAGTTTTACCAAGAACTCCTGTATGGTGTGAAGCATGGGTGATGAATGTTTGCAGCGAGGAGAAGGCTGGAGGCAGTGATGTCGTCATGCCTGAGGGCAATGTGTGGTGTGAATATAATGCAGAGAATTCGTAGTTTGGAAGTTAGGAGGAGGTGCGGATTGCCAAAACGTTGTCTAGAGGCTGAGGAAGGATTGTTGAGGTGGTTTGGACATGTAGAGAGAATGGAGCGAAACAGAATGACTTCAAGAGTGTATCAGTCTGTAGTGGAAGGAAGGCGGGGTAGGGGTCGGCCTAGGAAAGGTTGGAGGGAGGGGGTAAAGGAGGTTTTGTGTGCGAGGGGCTGGACTTCCAGCGGGCATGCGTGAGCGTGTTTGATAGGAGTGAATGGAGACAAATGGTTTTTAATACAGTGGACCCCCGCTTAATGATCACCTCCAAATGCGACCAATTATGTAAGTGCGTTTGTACGTGTATGTTTGGGGGTCTGAAATGGACTAATCTACTTCACAATATTTCTTATGGGAAAAAAATCGGTCAGTACTGGCACCTGAACATACTACTGGAATGAAAAAAGTTCGTTAACCGGGGGTCCACTGTACTTGATGTGCTGTTGGAGTGTGAGTAAAGTAACATTTATGAAGGGATTCAGGGAAACCGGCAGGCCGGACTTGAGTCCTGGAGATGGGAAGTACAGTGCCTGCACTCTGAAGGAGGGGTGTTAATGTTGCAGTTTAAAAACTGTAGTTTAAAGCACCCTTCTGGCAAGACAGTGATGGAGTGAATGATGGTGAAAGTTTTTCTTTTTCGGGCCACCCTGCCTTGGTGGGAATCGGCCAGTGTGATAATAAAAAAAAAAAAATACAGAAAAGGGTTACTAGCCCATTGTTCCTAGCATTTTAGTTGACTTTTACAACATGCATGTCTTACAGAGGAAAGATTCTTATTCCACTTCCCTGTGGATATAAAAGAAAAAGCAATAAGAACAAGAACTGTTAAGATAAAATCAAAGAAAACTGAGATGCGTGTCTATGCATGAATGTGTACATGTATGTGTAGTGTGACCTAAGTGTAAGTAGAAGTAGCAAGACGTTCCTGAAATCTTACATGTTTATGAGACAGAAAAAAGACACCAGCAATTATACCATCATGTAAAACAATTACAGGCTTTCGATTTACACTCACTTGGCAGGATCTCCCTGGGTGGTTGTTGTCTACCAACCTGCTACCTAGGATTTAGTTTTTGGGACCTGACGAGCTGTTGGAGTATGAGCAGGGTAATATTTAGTTAAGAGATTCAGGAAAACCGGTTAATTTTATATAGCCGGACTTTAGTCCTGGAAATGGAAAGTACGATGCCTGCACTCTAAAGGAGGGGTTTGGGATATTGGCAGTTTGGAGAGATATATTGTGTATTTTTATACGTATATACTTCTAAACTGTTGTATTCTGGGCACCTCTGCAAAAACAGTGATTATGTGTGAGTGAGGTGAAAGTGTTGAATGACGATGAAAGTATTTTCTTTTTGGGGATTTTCTTTCGCTTTGGTTCACCCTGCCTCGGTGGGAGACTGCCGACTTGTTGAAAAAAAAAGCTTCTAAACTGTTGTATCTGGGTGCCTCTGCAAAAACAGTGATTATGTATGAGTGAGGTGAAAGTGTTGAATGATGATGAAAGTATTTTCTTTTTGGGGATTTTCTTTTTGGTCACCCTGCCTCGGTGGGAGACGACCGACTTGTTGAAAAAAAAAAATCAAGATTTTTTTCCTACATGTACGTATTTTAATAAAATACGTACTTTAACAGGTGTCACAAACTGACAGAACAGTTGAGTGAGACCACACGAGCAAAGTGTGAAGGCTGTTATTCAAGCAGAAGAAGCAAATATCGTGAAATGCAGCTTAAGTACAGGTCAGTTGATCAAGTTGTGCGTTAGTTGTTGCATGGTTGTAACTACGTATCTGAGCTGCAGGAGCAGATCTATTCTTGGGTGTCTTGTCTTCAGTAATATATTTATCATGTAATTTTTAAAAATTTGAATGATTTACACTTGCTACTCATACCTATTCAATTAATCCGTCTTCTGTTAATTAATTGTTACAAAAAAATTTCCCAGTCTTCCTTCAGCTTCAGTTATTCTTAATTTATATCAGTGACCTCTTGTTTTCTCTATTGAAGAGACTAAAAAATTATTTTCATGTTCTTTTGTAACTTCATATGTTATAATGTCTCCTAGATCCCCTTTTTTACTTCCAAAATTTTGTCACAGCTATATTCTTTGTGGTCTGATTTATGCTTTATTACATTCATCATGCATCTGTCACTACAAATACAGTGGTACCTCAAGATAAGAACTTAATTCGTTCCAGAAGGCTGTTCTAGTGCCGATACCGAACGCATTTATTCCCATAAGAAATAATGTAGATTAGATTAATCTGTTTCAGACCCCCCCAAAAATATGCTTACAAAAGCACTTACATAAATACACTTACATAATTGTTCGAGTTTTGAGCTGTTCATATACCAAAGTACCACTGTACTCAGTTTACCAAAATCATTTTTTAGCCCTTTCAGGGTTTCGGCCGTACTAGTACGGCTTACGCACCAGTGTCCATGACGTACTAGTACGCCTAAATTCTGGTGCCCTCAAATCTAGTGAGAGAAAGCTGGTAGGCCTACATATGAAAGAATGGGTCTATGTGGTCAGTGTGCGCAGTATAAAAAAAATCCTGCAGCACACAGTGCGTAATGAGAAAAAAAAAAACTTTGACCCTGTTTTTGGATTAAAACAGCGACTTTGCACTGTATTTTCGTATGGTATTTATTGTTGTATTCTAGTTTTCCTGGTCTCATTTTATAGAATGGAAGACATATTACAGAAATTGAGATGATTTTGACTGGTTTTACAATGAAAACTACCTTGAAATTGAGCTCAAAGTAGCAGAAATGTTAGATTTTTACCAAAGTTCAAAAGTTTACAAATCATGCTATGCGTCCAATACACGTCAACTGGTGAGTCTAATATTCTTTCACAAGTGTGCTGATATTATTTATACCATTTCTACACTAATGCAGTAGTTTGCATAACAGTAAATCTTCTATATTTTTTTGTGAGAATAAAAATTCAAAGTGAAAAGCAAAAGAATGTAAGAGGGGCGTGGGGACGTGACTAATGAACAGAGGAAATGTTATTTTAATGCCAGGAATGTCTTTCTTGTTTATTCTGGACCCTATTCGGAAATTGGCATCTTTTGAAATTTGTGTAAGATTGGCAAAATTGCTAAATTCTGACCACTGTATTGGATAGTTGAAATCGGTAAGTGGGTGGTTTCTTGTACTCATTTGATAGAAAAAATGGAGTTCTAGCAACATAGTTATTATTTTTGTCGACTAGTACATTGGAATTGGCCGAAAATAGGGCTCAAAGTGGGCAAAATTGCTGATGCGTGAACATCGTCGAGACCGCTAACTTCGCAAGAGCATAATTCCGTAAGTTTTCCATCAAATTTCATACTTTTGGTGTCATTATGATCGGGAAAAGATTCTCTATCTTTTCATAAAAAAAAAAATTTTTTTTTCTTTTCTTGAAATTTGGGGGACCCTGCGAACAAGTCTCTGAGAGGGCCTGTGGACCCTGAAAGGGTTAAAGATTTAATCATTTTTATTTATTTTGCACAAGATTTTTACTTCTGCAGATTATGTAATTCATATAGTTTTTTTCCTCTTCAGATAAGTGATTCATTGTAATTAAAATCGTTACCCCTTAAACTATCCAAGTGTAGATCTACGTTCACTCGTGCAGTTCCAAATATTTTGAAAACAAAAAAAAATTAAAAGAAGAGTGTATTTTTCTTCATGTTATGGGATAAAAATTTTTTTTTTTAGGGTCAGTATTTACCGAGATATAAGCCTGTGAAGTTGGTGCTGGATGCTCACCTGATGGCAACAGGGAGTCCTGCTACTTGCAGAAGTTGCTGATATACTTTTTTTTTCTCATTTTTTTATTCTTTTATATAATTTTTATGTTCTGATAATTACAATTTATTGTAGGTAGTAGGTTGGTAGACAGCAACCACCTAGTGAGGTACTACTGTCCTGCTAAGTGAGTGTAAAATGGAATCCTGCAATTGTTTTACATAATGGTAGGATTGCTGGTGTCTTTTTTCTGTCTCTTAAACATGCAAGATTTCAGGTATGTCTTGCTACTTCTACTTAGGTCACACTACACATACATGTACAAGCATATATATACACACCCCTCTGGGCTTTCTTCTATTTTCTTTCTAGTTCTTGTTCTTGTTTATTTCCTCTTATCTCCATGGGGAAGTGGAATAGAATTCTTCCTCCGTAATCCGTGCGTGTTGTAAGAGGCGACTAAAATGCCAGGAGCAAGGGCCTAGTAACCCCTTCTGTATAAATTACTAAATTTAAAAAGAGAAACTTTCGTTTTTCTTTTTGGGCCACCCTACCTCGGTGGGATACGGCCGGTTTGTTAAAAATAAAAAATATAAATAGATGTATACCACAGTTTAGTAGTTACAAGACATTATGCCAGTGTTCTTGAAAATTTACAACACGCATGGCTTACGGAGGAAGAATTCTGTTCCACTTCCCCATTGAGATAAGAGGAAATAAACAAGAACAAGAACTAGAAAGAAAATAGAAGAAAACCCAGAGGGGTATGTATATATAAGCTTGTACATGTATGTGTAGTGTGACGTAAGTGTAAGTAGAAGTAGCAAGACGTACCTGAAATCTTGCATGTTCATGAGACAGAAAAAAGGACACCAGCAATCCTACCATCATGTAAAACAATTACAGGCTTTCGTTTTACACTCACTTGGCAGGACGGTAGTACCTCTCTGGGCGGTTGCTGTCTACCAACCTACTACCTAGGAAGATGAGAAGTATTTATTGTAAAAAATCAAGTGTGGTATGTATGGTAGTCAGCCGGGCTACCATACCAGGCCAACCCACCCACACATACTATTCTATGATATTTAAGCATCCCAGAGCGATAAAATGTATATACAGTTCACTCATTGCTTTTTTTTTTTTTTTTTCAAAAAGTCGGCCGTCTCCCACCGAGGCAGGGTGACCCAAAAAAGAAAGAAAATCCCCAAAAAGAAAATACTTTCATCAGCATTCAACACTCTCACCTCACTCACACATAATCACTGTTTTTGCACAGGTGCTCAGAACACAACAGTTTAGAAGCATATACGTATAAAGATACACAACATATCCCTCCAAACTGCTAATATCCCGAAACCTCTCATTTAGAGTGCAGGCATTGTACTTCCCATTTCCAGGACTCAAGTTCAGCTATGTAAAAATAACCGGTTTCCCTGAATCCCTTCACTAAATATTATCCTGCTCACACTCCAACAGATCGTCAGGTCTCAAATACCATTCGTCACTATTCACTCCTATCGAACATGCTCATGCACGCCTGCTGGAAGTCCAAGTCCCTCGTCCACAAAACCTCCCTTACCCCTTCCTTCCAACCTTTTCGAGGACGACCCCTACCCCGCCTTCCTTCTCCTACAGATTTAAGGGGGCTAGAGGGCAAATTTCGTAACTCGTTTATTTACCGTCCGATTTTCTCCAGTTTTGGTGCATAAGACAAAGTGTTCTCACTCTTTCTTGAAAATATTTATAAAAAATATACCTCAAACAACAACTGAGAAAAGACTGATTTACTGAAAATGCCCTTGAGGTTGATGTAACACTTATATCGGCTACGTAAGGTGGTTTGGACACATTGTGCCGAGAGTACAATGCTAATACTAAACTTCGGATCCGTAAGATTTCCCTCTAAATACCTTATCGTTATTTCACAAAAAATAAAGTTTGTTAGTATCTGGAATATGGCAAAAAAATCTGCCCTTATACTCCCACATAACTCCCAAGTATATTGAATATTCCAAAAATTCTACTTCAAAATAAGAGAAATCATATTCTTCAACAATATCTGTGAATATTAATTCCATTTAATTAAGTAATAAAGAGACCCACATCAAATTATAGGTGAATAAGTTACTTCCGAGATAATCGGCCGGAACGCCGGCCGGCCCCCGTCTCCAAAAAAAAAAAAAAAATTTCGCGAAAATCGCGTTTGTTTGGGGTATTTCTTAGTAAACTGATGTTCTAGTGCAGTTAGCCTCTAAAAACAAAAACAAAGTTTCTCTTACTCAGTAGACGACAGGGTGACCAGTTACACTTTTATATCGAAATAATTCCGATAACTCTGGGCCATATTATGGCCTATTTTAATCAGTCTAGAGTTATATACATGTTGTAATGTTATTTAGAGTGTTTATTATATCATATTAATCAATTCTGATAGACAAATAAGCCGTAGAGTTTGATATATAAGCTGATATCAGCGAAATAATGGTGATTCCTGGCTGGCACCTCGGGAGCAGGAACACTGCTGAGCGTTCCCGTCTGGTTCCCGGTAGTCACTAAGTCTGCCGATAAGCTCCACCTACTGTTTTATGATGCCAAATAGTCAGTTATTATATTAGAAAGAATAATGCAAGAAAAGGCGATAAAAAACAAGAAAATAACTCCAAAAAATATATAGGCCGTGAGCAGACTCGGTACCAACATCGCCGTCACCATACCTGATATAAATGACTATAATTTCTTGTAGAAACGTCGTAGAACATTCATTCTGGTACCATTGTGTTGCCAAAGAGTTGAGCTATTTTTCAGTATATATAACTCAATTTCCATATTTTTTCGATTTTTCGGTGAGCGCGCGCGGAACATTGCCCGCCTGCCCCCTTAAATGCTCTCCATGTCATTCTACTTTGATCCATTCTCTCTAAATGACCAAACCACCTCAACAACCCCTCTTCTGCCCTCTGACTAATACTTTTATTAACTCCACACCTTCTAATTTC